TTTTCTGTTCCCTTCTTGACAAGCCCGAAAGCTCCAATGATCACTGGGACAGTTGTTGTTTTCATTCCCCCACGTTTTCTCGATTTCAATCTCAAGATCCTTGATTTTGATTTCAATCTCAAGATCTCAAGATCTTTCAATCTCAAGATCTTTATTATTATTATTATTATTATTATTATTATTATTATTATTGTTATTATTATTACTGTTGTTGTTTTTGTTGTTATTCAGTATTTATTTATTTATTTATTTATTTATTTTTTTTGTTTCATCTCACACTCTAGCTGCTTTTCCCGGCCCATCTTTCACGTTCCTTTCGAGCTCCAGGAAAACTGAGAAACAACTGTAACGCTGGCGGTATATTCTTACAAGTAGAATATAAATTTACCAACTCTGCTGTCACAGAAATCCACACAGGGTAGCCCTCGTTTGAAAAGGATGCTGAAGTAGGAGTGACAGGTTTTAGCTGAACACAAGCGATTATGTACTATACTTCCATTGTCCAAACAGCACTTTAGTGAGCACGCTCCTGAAATGGTTTCCCAAGGACTGAAACCGGCGGTACTCTGGGAAGGAAACTGAGAAAGAGAACTTCACTTGACATGATAGCACTCTCAAAATGGAAATTTGTAACTTGTATAAATGTGTTTCTAGGTTTCAAAATACCCATGAAATTTGGTCATTCCACCTTGCTGTGTGAGAATGGCGCACAAATGAGTCAATGTGTACAACGCACGTACAGATGCACTATACTTGAATTCGAGATTTTTGTATCGCATGATTGTCGACGGGCGCAGCCCGAGTCACCTATCAGGCATAGCAAACCAAGCAATAAGGTAATTGGTTCAGTATAATTCCTGTGATCGTTCAAAACTTTATATAAACCCTCTTCGCAGACACTTCGTAAACACAAAGAAATGCCCGCCATTTTGTTTTCAATCCTTTGCCGAAGCTAGACTTGTACCCAGTCGTTATCTATGTGTTTTTGGGGGAGAGAAGATTGGATACTAGGGTGGATTAAGGCGCACGAGGTGTCACGGGAAGGGTCGAAGGAATTTTTTCTTCGACCCTTCCCATGACATAGTGAGCCTTAATCCACCCTTGTATCCAATCTTCTGAAGGAAACCCGAAAATAGTAGAAAAACACCAAAGAGATAATACTAAACCATGATGAACAAGGATGGCTAAGGATGGAAAAGGTGAACGCGGATAACAAACGACCAACTTAAAAAACTCAGGCTAAACTTTTCAAGATGCGAAACTGTGACGTACTCCTTTACGCATTTTGTTTAAAACCCTACTTTCTTATTAGTATTGCCGCTGTCGTCAGTTTCCGTTATCTGTGTATGCTCCCATATTAGACGCTTCTTCGCGTTATATTACCGAAAATATATTCTGTCATTTCTACAGTGTTGTTATCCACGGATAAGTTTCATAGCTTCCTGTCTCTGAAAACCCGCAATAGTGTAATCAGAGGATCTGTTGAGTTGGAAATAGCGTCTCCGAAAACGAGCTCATTGTGAATAGTTCTTACTTTACCACGGTCGTTCCGTAAGGTCGTTGGCCAAGATGTCTGATACCTCATAAAATCCGACTGTCTTCTGAAAGCATCCTCAAGCTAAATAAACAACGTTGTTGAAAATCGTAAATTTAAGCTGTGCTTTGGTCACCTAAATATGTAAACAATATGTAAAGATATGGAAAAATGTAAAGATATGAATGATTATTACAGTTATATAGGCAACTTAAGCAATTCTAAAATTAAAACCTGAAAAAACAAAAGGCCCGTTCAAGCCTGATTTTTGTTTTGTTTTGTTTTGTTTTTTTGTTTTTTCAGGCTTAAATGTCACAACTGCTTAAGTTATAACTACGATGATCAATCATGTCTAGAGGTTAATTATTTGGGTTGAAATCTCCCTTTACGGTTATACTTCTCTTGGGTTCTTATTGTTGTCCCTCTGGTTAAATTCTCCGGGAAATAAACTCCAGATAGGGTTGTTATAATCCCAGGCCACTAAATTATAGTCAGCAATCCTGTGAGGTCACAATTTAATTTCCCTTAACGATTGTAGAGCGCAGTTTTGAAGTGAGGGTCGTAAAACCAAAACCAAAGTTACTACCATTATC